CAGACACCCAGAGACCAGACACATGCACACACATAAAATTCCCAAACACTCCCCACCCACTAAAAGTCCCCCACTAGAAATACAAACATCTACACCACAGGCCAAGTAACACAGTCCAACTAATTATTCACTGCTGGTGGTCTTTAAGCTCATTATTAAGTGCAATTATCGCTCTGGGATAAAAACTGTTCAGAAAACGTGTGGTCTGAGTCTTAAAGATTCAGTTCCTTGTGCCAGACGGCAACAGTTCAAAAAAGTTGTAAGCAGGATGGGAAGAGTCTCTCAGGATGCTGTGTGACTTCCTCAGACAGCGGGATGTGAAGATGTCATCCAGGGTTGGTAGCTGGAGCCCGATGATATTCTGGGCAATTTTAATGGTTCTCTGTAGAGCTTTTTTGTCCGCTACAGAGCTACTCCCAAACCATGCCAGAATGCCATAGGTTAGGACACTCTCAATGGTGCTACGATAGTATGACAGAAGTAAATGCTGAGATAAATGTAACTTCCCGAGCGTTCTCAGGAAATACAGCCTCTTCTGTGCCTTCTTCACTAGCATGTTGGCATTTATAGTCCATGAGAGGTCCTCTGAGATGTAAGTGCCCAGAAATTTAAAACTACCAACTCTATCCAATAACATGCTCTCCAATAACATTTAGAACGTGAAACTGATATTTCATCTACATTTCATTCCATTTCATTCTGTCTCTTAATGTCTGACGAAGTGGACGTGTCCATGAAAGCTCACCTTAAAATATAATGGCACGTCTCTAAAGTGCCGCCTGGTTTTGTCCTTTTTCTTTGTTTGGTTTGTCTTGTTTTGTTTCTTTGGATTTTGCCTGATATGCTTGCACAGACTTAGGCTAAAACTTCAGGACAAAACTGAGATTCAATGTACGGCTGAATTTCAGACAAAAATTGGGATTCCCCCCCCCACCTGTGAAGGAACCTGTTAGAGGTGATACCACCACCTGCGACAAGGTACTTTCCAAGACCATGTGAATATAACAACATAAACAGTTAAAAAGCACTGCAAAGACTTGGAACAACATTACTTTCCTGATGTAATGAGCAATGCTTTCTAGTTCCTTTCTGCAAGTTATTAATAAAGGGCACTTTAGAGGTAATTTGACAGAAATAGTTTTGAAGTTTTAGGCTATTCTCTTATGAATCCAAGGATTACCCCTGCCAAAAAAAAAACCCTAATAAAAGTAATGTGGAAAGGCTATCTCTGATCAGGGCAACGATTAAGAGCAAATATTACTTTACAAACATTTTAACAGGAGATGAGAATAACATACTTAAAAATAACAACTTCTCAACCTCTGGTTTAGAGGCAGGGGACACACAAAAGTGTTCCTTGAAAAGGCCTTGTTAAAACGAGGTAGGGAAAGGTTTTGGTCTCATTCCAATGCCTACATTGTGTTTTATGCTGTCAAGTGAGAACCAACGTATAGCAACCCCAAGAGGGCTTTCAAGGTAAGTAAAACACTCCAGGAGTGGTTTTGCTGGTTCCAACACCCCCCACAAGTGAATTTCCATGCCCAAGTGGGAGGTTTCCGTGGTCCCTCCTAGCTGCCCTGTGCAAAGAGCCGTCAAGAGGGCTTTCAAGGTAAGTGAGATACTCCAGGAGTGGTTTTGCCGGTTCCAATACCCCCCCCCAACAAGTGAGTTTCCACAGCCAAGTGGGAGGTTTCCGTGGTCCCTCCCAACTGCCCTGTGCAAAGAGCCGCGGGCGCTGCGCAGCCGTCACTTACAATTCTTGGATAAGGCACTCGTCCAAAGGAGTAGATTTCCCAGAGAAGAATCCCGAAGCTCCACACGTCTGATTTGGTGGAAAATTTCTGCCAAGACGAAAATTTCAGTCAACAGATTCGTAAACAAAGAGCCGCGTCATTGAGAGAAACAGTGGCCAGCGATGGTACCAAGTTTACCCCAAGGTGGTGAAAATGAGGCCTCCAGTCCTTCCCCCCCCCCAGGGCTTTTAGCACTAGGGACAGCCCATGGCCAAATTCTCCACGCATCGGGCTTCATATTCATTCAGCACCAGATTTCAGTTTATGCCTCCAGCAGCAGCCCCTGCATTCGCTCTTTCCAATTCGCCTGCAAAGCCCCTCTGCATTTAGCGAGGAGTGGTACAGGGCTTATACGTGGTATGAATTGTCAAGATGCCGAACCTTCTATGATTTTCAGAATTGAGAATATATTTCCCTGTTTCAAAGCAAAGCATGCTGCTTATATACTGCCCCATAGTGTTTAAAGCACTCTCTGGGTTATTAATATTTTAATGGTGCAGGCTGCACATTACTCCTCCCCACCCACAGTGAGGATACTGGGTACTCAATTTACTGACCTAAGAAGGATGGAAGGTGGAGTGAACCTCAAGCCGGCCACCTGGAATTGAACTCAGGTTGTAAGCAGAGTTTTGACTGCAGGACTGCAGTTTAGCCACTGCATCACAAGGTTCCTTGTTTCAAACTGCTATCAATTGTATTATATATTGAGCTCTGCCTTTTCTCTTAAGAAAGTAGGGAAAAGTTGTTACCCGTTACACATGGGTGGTGTGTAAGGAAGTTCCAGAGGTTTCGGGAACAACTCCCTTTCCCCAGAGTCCTGGGGGATGCACTGACCTCCCCACTCCCAAAATGACAGGGATGGGGGAGGGGGAAACCTAACGAAAGCAAAGCACAAGAGCTGTAAGTCCACTTTTAGTTTTGTACAAACACTTTAAAAATACACTTTAAATAAAAACAGCAGTGTCTGTGTGCATGGTTCTCACAACTAGACTAGGGAGACAGGTGTGATGATGGAGAAGGGTAGGAATATTAAGAAATTTGTCTCTTAGGTTGTTCTTGTCCAACAAGAACTGCATTGGACAAGCTTACTGATAGCTCTGCCTCCTTGCCTCCAAGACTCAGGTGTGACTGCTAACTTTGGAATGAGACAGACATTTGCAGTCTTAAAACGATCATTTTAAATGCAAAGAGCTTCATAGCGTAGTGGTTAAACTGCAATACTGCAGCCAAAACTCTGCTCATGACTTGGATTGAATCCCAGGCAGCCGGCTCAAGGTTCACTCAGCCTTCCACCCTTCCAAGTTGGCTGGGGTGTGTGTGCATGCAGGTAATGTGTAGCCTGAATAATTAAACTGTAAACCCCCCCAGAGAGTGTTTTAAGTGCTAGGGGTGGTATATAAGCAGTGCACTTCGCTTTTTAAAAAAAATACCTTTATATTTCTTAATTTGTTTTCATTTGATGGTTTTAGTTATTCCTTGTTTAATAATGTTCAAAGTGTTGTCTCTATCTTGTTTTAACTTTTTAGACATTTTTAAAAATGATTTGCGAGCTTCCTTGAGTCCTGGAAGAAAGGTGAGATAGCAATGCAATAAATAGAGTGGAACAGAATAGGAGCTTTTTGCCGAAAAATTGGAGGATCAACTAGTGCCAACCCTAAGTGGATGGAATTCTGAGAGATGTGAGCCCTATTTAGATGCTTAAAGCGTCAGGGCCATCAGGGGAAGAAGGCAGCCCTACCTCCCAACCAAGCCAACCTCTGTTGCTGCTTTGAGCACATGGAAAAATGCTGGCTGGAAAATGGGAGCGTTTTGTATCCATGTGGCTTGCCTTCATTCCTCCTCCCAGGGAGAATCTACAGGCATACAGCAGTCTCCCCCTCTTTGAATGGTCCCTTTTGAATCTCAAAAGCAATGACAAAAGGGGAGGGGATCTCCTCACTGGACTGAGGGGTGGGGGTGGTCACTTGCTTGAAGAACATCTGAAGAGGGCCACATGAAACCAGGCTGAAACCTGGAGGAAAAACAAGAGGAAAAAGCAAAACAGAAAGAACAGAAGCTGGAAATCTCAGAGAGAAATCTCAGAAAGACAGGATTTCTCCCTATAGTTTTCAAAGAAAGCTAATAAAACAGAACTTGTGGAAGTTCCTCTTGTTTTTTGTTTTTAATTAGAGTTCTTGGAACTCTAGCAAAGCTACTCCAGTAAAGTCCACGAGCAGAAGCTCTATGTCTCAATACAACGTACACAGTGGAGATGAAGGGAGTGCGTCTCATTCGTTTTTGGACTCTCCGTTGGGAAAGTCTGAGTCCGTTGATTCCTACCTAGGATGGAAAGGGAAACAACTCACTTTCTCATTTTATTCCCCTTCTGTTTCCTGACTCCTAACAGAGGATAGCAGAGAAGTAAAACAGAGACAGACTCTAGGGAGCGAACAACCAGGGTGAACTAACAGGGAGAGCTAACGGGAGTTTGGCAGGCGAGTGTGGTGGGGAAGACCGAGGGGAAGGCCCCTAACAAAGTTCTTGGTTTCCGAATAAAGTGGAATTCCCTTCACCTTTCAAGGCAGGCAAGACAAAGGGCACTGACAGACAAAAAGAAGTGAGTCAAAAAGGTGATAGGGATTATGGAGGGAACAGATACCTCTGCAATGGTGATCGGCAAAGTTTGCCTGTGTACCTGACAACAACATGATGTACACCCACAGCAAATGAAAACTGGCAGCCCTATGGGAAGAACCAGTGAAAGAACATGAGCCACAAGTGACCACCCTTAGGGCTATAAGAGAAAATGAAGGGTACATCGGCAGAACTTTTGAGTAGCAGCAATAGCAGCCAAGGGAGGCCCTGGACGTAGAAGAACAGCCAGAAAAAGCAGAGGAGGAGAGAACCGACAGAGGGGAGGAAGCGCCATGGAAAAGGGCTGGAGTTGGGAGCAAACGTTGAGTAAAATGCTGTTCATGACTTGGAATTGCAAAATTCCATGCAGATTCTGGAACAGGAGTCGGGCAAATGACTGGAATACAGGGACTGAAAGATATAAATTGTTCAAACAGAACGGAAACAATAGAAAGGGAGGTGGAGTAGAAGTATAGATGTCCAAAACAACAGGTCCCTGCATTGAAATACAGGAGGACGAGTTTGGTGGTCCCCCTGAGAGCCACTGGATTAATATAATCGGGGGGAAAAACAAAAATGGGAACATGGCCACTGGAGTCTACTACCCACCACCCTATCAAGAAGAAGATGCAGAGGAAGCTTTGGAAAGACAAATTGCAAGAGTTTCAAAGAAACACGATGTAGCAGCAGCAATGGGAGGCTTCAATGATCTTGATATCTGTCTGGAGAGAAATAATGCTCAATGTGGCCCTTCCAAGAAATACCTGGCTTGTATGGCTGATCGTTTTCCCGTATAAAAAGTGGAGGAAGAAAAACCAGAAGAGTTTGGACTTGATTCTAACCAACAGAGACGACTTGGTGGAAGGCATGATCGCAAGAGGAACCCGGGGGGGAAATGACCATGTTCTACTGGGGTTCTTGATTTCAAAGGAAGCAGAAACAGAGTATCGCCGGGCAACATGGCAAGAAGGAAAAACCATCCACTTCTGGAAGGCCCAGTGTTAGGTCGGATTGGGTCCATACCAGGTCATGAACATGTCCATGACGGCTTAAATATTCCTCAAGCAACGCAAGAGGGTCTCCCTCCCTCACCTTTTCTCTAAGTGCTTCTGGTGCCGTCCATTTCACTGGTAGCTTGCCCGTGTCCTGGGTGGACGAAGCTTCTTTCGTCAGCCCAAAATCGCTGACTTTGGCAACGTTGTCTTCTGAGACCAGTACATTCCGCGCTGCCAAGTCCCGATGAACAAAATTGTTGGCTTCCAGGTACGCCATAGCTTCGCAGACATCTCTGTGGGGAGAGAAGGGGCAAAGGAGATGATACTCAGGGGAAAAAATGGGTCGTTCCACCCCCTTATTTACTGATTCATTTTCATGTCTATCCCACTCCATTAGTTTACCACTCTCTGGGCAGTTCACAAGGTACAGTAAAATCATAAACACATTATACAGTCAGAACTCCCTTATCTATGGAATCAGTATCAGCTGATTCACTTATCCACAGTCCAAAAATATTAAAAGAAAAAAAATCTGTACTTCTAGAGATGAATTCCCCAGAACTGGCCACTAGAAGTAGCCAGAGAACATACTATGTATAGCATTTGCTATTCTCATAGCTTTTGCTATAATTTGTATTTTTCCAGCATCTACGGGGGGGGGGGGGGTGGAACTGTAGATACAGGGATCTTACTGTATAATAAATAGACAAATAAATTAAATATGGTAAACACTGTTGCTAGCTAAAAGCAACTTCGAATAGAAATACACAAATTAAAACCCGTTTGAACATCTTTAGACAATATTTACAATTGCTAGAAGACCACTTTTTATAATGTGGTCTTAATTAACTTCCTAAAATCAGATGAAGCTTGTTCCAGAAGGAAGGGGCCATGACAGAGAATCCTCTGTTCCTTGTCTTGGTGGGTTTTTGGTGTTTTTTGTTTGTTTGTTTGTTTGTTTTTTGCCTCCTTAGGAATTACAATTTTTAACACCAAAAACTGCAAGGAACGTGTGGGACAGTAACTATTTTGGTGATGGTGGGGGTTTGGAGAGAGACCATAAAGTCCTAAATTGTTAAGGATTCTGACCAGGACCTTAAACTGAGCACAGAAAATAACAAGAGAACAAATGAAGGTGTGCCAAGACTGGACATTCATCTTCATATCTCCTGGTCCTTGTAATCAGTCCGGCTGCCACAGTTTGGCCCTGCTGAAGTTTCTGTACTGACTTCAAGGGCAGACCTACATACAGAGCATTACAGTAGTCTATTTTGGAGACGACCAACACATGGACTACTGTTAGGGATTTCTTATCCAGGTTAGGGGTGCAGCTTGACAATCAACCTGAGGGGAGTTTCACTGGAAATTAGGTTTATCTCTTGGGCTTCTCTGTCTGGATGAGCTATCCTGGCAGGCCAATCTGCAAGCCACACCCTGTGTCCCGCTCCATCTTATGAGCCCAGGAATATTTCCCCCAAAATCTAACAGCAAAACGTTTAACCAGCCAATTTTACACAGACACATTCAACTGGCCCGGATGTCACTCTGAAGAGATGGTATAGCAGTGCTGGCTGATGTGTGTGGCCTAGGCACAGAATCAGGTGATTATATGCTCAATCAGACTGGGGGAAACTATTTTTCTGGACTACAACTCCCAGAACCATGGGAGATTCTGGGAGTGGTAGTCCAAAGCCATTACTTCCCCAATATTTGTGTAGTAACCATATACAGAACTGCACAGAAACTATGATGAAGCAGCCAAGCCTCCATACTTACAAGGAAAACTTCAGCAGGCAGTCTGCCCCCAGGACAGACCTCCCTCGGGAGCGAAGGTAATCAACTAAACTTCCCTGAAAACAAAGAGAGAGAAGGAAAGGAACTATTAATATTGTAACTAGTGGTAGCGCGAGGGGAGGGGGAGAGAATTCACAATCAAAGTCCACCACTGGGAAATTTGCAACCCATGATAAGGCAGTCGAACGGCAGCATGTTATTTATATACTAATTTTGAGTATTTATATACTGCTGAATTTGTGCTATGCATGATTCTGTGCAATTTACAGTAAAGGAAAATTAACTGGCCATCTCATGAGAAGAGAAGACTCCCTGGAAAAGACCCTGATCTTGGGAAAGTGTGAAGGCAAGAGGAGAAGGGGACGACAGAGGACGAGATGGTTGGACAGGGTCATTGAAGCGAGCAACATGAATTTGACCCAACTCCGGGAGGCAGTGGAAGACAGGAGGGCCTGGCGCGCTCTGGTCCATGGGGTCACGAAGAGTCGGGCACGACTTAACGACTAAACAACAACAACAACCCATAAGCCAGTGACTCCCAAACTTTTTCTACTCGTGGCTTCTATGACCCATCTGGGAGACTCACCAGGACAAAAAAAAAGGGTGCCACTGCCTCTGCTCCTCCTGCAAAGGCGGGTGTCCAGGGGTGGGGTGTGGCTCACCCCGGAGGGTCTGGGCCTGAGGCCAGAAGGGCATTGGGCATGATCCCAGCTGGCATGCAGGGAGACCCAACGGCCAAGGAGAAGGAGAGAGAGGCAGCAGTGAAGGATGAGAGGATTCTGCGTTGCCCTTGGCTGGGTGTGGCGGTACCCCACGGCGCCCAGTTTGGGAACCACGGCCATAAACCCTCAACCGACATGAACAAGTGAATACAAATGAAGCAAAGAACAAACCTAAGTGTAATCTAAGGGAGGGCAGGACCAGGTGACTCATATACAGTGGTGCCCTGCATAGAGACGTTAATCCGTTCCAGGATTAACGTCGCTATCCGGATTCGTCGCTATGCGGTGGGGGGGACCCATAGGAACGCATTAAACTCCATTTAATGCGTTCCTATTGGGGGAAAACTCACCGGTAAGCAAAAATTCCCCCATCTGGCTGCAATTTTCGCTGCCCGGTAAGCGAGGGCAGGCCGCGAAAACGGAGCGGACGGCCATTTTATTCTTCCGGCGGCCATTTTGGAACTGCCGATCAGCTGTTTTTAGAACATCGCAATGCGATTTTCACCCATTGGAACCATGCAATGCGATTGCATTAGCGATCGCAAAAAATATGTAGCTATGCGGATTCATCATTAAACGGTGCGCTCGTTAAGCGAGGCACCAATTTATCGACCTAAGTCAGGAGAGGGTGTTCTTGAGAGCCCCTTTGAAAAGTATAGTCTTTAACACCTTAACACCCTCTTGAAGGATGGGAGGGAGGGGGGCTGGCACACCTCTAGTCAGAGCCCGTTCCATAGGGATGGGGCCACAACCGAGAGGGCTCGGTTTCTGGAGGAGGTCTCCTTTGCCTCTCTCAATATGGCAAACTGCAGGAGCAAGGCCTGTGAGGATCTGGTAGTAAGGCCCAGAAAAAGCTCTGTACCATTTCTTCTAGATTTACAGAGAATCGGTCCATTGCCAGATTTCCTTCCCAGCAGTAAAAGTACGTCTGCCCAGAAACTCAGTTGGGAGAATGCTGCCAAGCCATGGCTGGCAGCAACTTCTTCCAAGTTTTATTTTTTTGGAAAGTTCTACTCTCTCTTCCCTGTAGACTCTCTGAGAGAGGTTTAGAAAAATGAGCGAATGGAGAATTTATACAAAATGTTTTATAGATAGCTTTTACCACCTGATAGGTTAGCAAAAATGGTCTCTAATTGGTCAAGTAAATGCTGAAAATGTTATTAAAAAACCTGGAACTTACTATCACCTTTGGTGGACCTGTGATAAAGCAAAAAGGTTTTGGATAAAAATACATGTATGGCTTGTTAAAATAATTTTTAAAATGTAGATTTTAAGCCAGAACTCTTTCTATTAGGTATAACACCAGAAGGTGTTGATAAACAAAATGTATATTTAAGATTGCATATTTTAACAGCCATGAGGATTGTATTTTCACAGTACTGGAGGAATGAAGAAACATCTCCAGATGAAGAAATAATTAAAAAAGATATTGGACTCCATAGAAATGGACATTAAGAACCAAAGGAAAGGAAGAGTCAGAATACTATCAAACATGGAATCTGTTTTATCAGTGGCTAGAAACACGTTGAATAGATTAAGGGCTTAATATGTACTGTA